ATAGAAGGTATCAAAGTCAAAACTTCTCATCTTATTGTGTACTGTTATTTGGCAAAGTACTTGCACATGGTGAAAGACCTTGTAGTACAGTAAAGCCTGCAGACTATCAGTATCAAGGGGGGAAAAAAACCCACATTAATTTTATGAAAGGAGTCTTTCTCAGAACTTTCCCTTCAACCTAACTGAAGCTCAGCATCACAAGACTCTGCACATTTGAATTGTGAGGAAAAAAAGGTGGCAGTGGGCTAACAGACCTTTTCCAGTAACTCCCAAAACCACACTGGAATCCAGGATGTCTTCAGAGAGGCTGAGGCAAAGAGATAGTAACACGGTGCACTTAGAGGACCAGGTCTGTTGCATTTGAATTATCTGTACTGATCCAAAGAGGATAAAGGTCATAGCAACCAATTTTTAGACTCCAAAAGACATCATAACTACAAAATAACTGGGTCAACCCTGAGTTAAATGGCTGAGTATGTGAAATAAGATACTGAGCCAGCTCAGACTACTCACAAAATACTTGTTCTTGCCTATATAAGCAATGTTCAAAATGTCACCTGTGCTGTACAAGGTGTCTGGCAGCAACAAACCATCTTCAGTGCCTGGTCAAGCCTTGCTAGAGCCACAGAGGCAGCTTGTCTGAAGAAATAACAAATGGAATAAGACATCTTTCTAGAATCATGCCCATCTGCCAATTTAAGCCACTTGATTGGTGACCAAAAGAAACAATTGACCAAATTCTGGAGGTCACCACTACCCCAAAAAGAGTGGTGATAAACTGTGGCATTAAGTGAGGATCTGTCTGAACCAAAGGCACAAATAATATAAAAAACCACAACCCACAGCATGATCTATTGAGCAAAACAAGAACTCACTATCCCTCAAACCTATCACTCAGTAAGACGTGTTCAGATACAGAAAGTATAGTACTGAAGTCGTATCAACAGACCCAAGGCACTGACACAGCTTAGTTAGTACTAGTACAGTTCCAAGTAGCACAGCTCACTTGAGGTACAACCAGCACCTTCTGGTATGATTTTCATAGGTGATACTATTGTCCTAACGTGTTATTCACACCTAGAAACTAAAGCAGTTACTTATGCCTAAGAATAGCTACGCAGCACAATTACCAGAGTGAAGCACTGAAAAAGAAGGATGGGCTTTAAGAAGTTGGTCTGTGCCTATTTAGTCAATGGAACAAGACAAATTGCTTCCAAAAAAGCCAAGACCTAGTTTTATCTCTGAATTAAATGTCCTTAAATTGCTGCAAGTGTATTTCACTGCAAATCAGTTCTTACACCACGTTATCAGAGAGTGCAATTCAAGAATGGGTTTTGGAAGACAGAACTGCCAAGCAGAACAGAGTGGTTTTGTTTCCCCTTCCCCTTGGGTAGTGCAACTGATTCCACATATCGAGAAGGTACACTTGTCTCATGCTTTTGCCAACCATATGTATGGATACCACCTTCACTAAAAAGAAAACAGAATATATGGGCAAATTCATGTCCTCATATAAAAGAACTTTTATGGTTACAAAAGTTGGTGTGAGAGGAAAATCAAGGCAAATATTCCTCCCATCCAAACATAGGCTGTTATACTTGTCTTCAGCTGCTGTGATAGATTTGGCAGCATAAATCCAGACAAACATCTGTCATTTGTATGGAAAATCCTACTGCAATCAAGACAGGACATCAGCACCTTGCTTTCCATCTAAACCAATAAATTTGGCTTTAAGGACTGCAATTGTCAAAGAGTAACTAAAAGCACCATTGTGTAGGTAAAAATCACAGAATGGCAGGAATTGGAAGGGACCTCTGGAGATCATCTGGTCCAACTCCCCCGCCAAAGAAGCAGCCAAGAAGTCTGGCAAAATTAAACTGAACAGCTGATTGGTGAGAATCACGCACACAGAATTTAAGACCTTTTTGGCACATGGCAATTCGTGTCCATCTCCTAGTCATTCCTAAACCAACCACCAGTTCCACAGCAAGTAATGCCAGCGCAGACACACAGTATGCAAGAACAGCCAACGGTTGGCCAAACCAGCTCTAAGCAGTCAGCGTAAGCTAAAGCCAGTCCAAGTGTTTGTCTCTACTATCACATCTCTAGGTTTGTTTAAATTCCACAGATGCAACACAAAGGTTATATTTAGTGACTAATGTAGTTTGACACCGAGAAGCTCAAAAGCCTCTTTTTTGTAATTGAGTTGGAAGAAACCTGCAGCAGTCAGAAAAGCACTGCTACACTTCTTCCCTTTGCAAGGCCATTAAAAAAAAAATTCTAAGTCAACTCTGACCTTCCGTGTTGTATCTCTAGGTGAACAGACCCAGAAAAGTACTAAATGAAGAGACAGGTAAGTCTGTAGTGGCTTCTGTTTCAGGGCAATGGAGGTCTGGCGTGCCTGAAAATCTGCCCCTTCCTTTCTCAGAATTGGTCTTATAAGAAATTATTTGTCTTCACAAAGTTATCTATCCCCTCCTCCTCATTAGGCCATCAAAGCTTCTGCATCTTCTGAACTTTCATAACAAAACTACTGAAGCAAGAAGTTAAGGTCTCTAGGAGCATGTTCCACTGATTAGCTTTTCCTCTTACAAATCCCGGATCTGCTTAGTGGACTGTAAAAATCATGCTTTTAATACACAATTACACGAGGATATAGAAAAAGAAATATTGGAAGAATACTGCTCTATCCTGAGGACTTCTAAAACCTGTTTCAGCGCTGAACAGACAAAAGGTATCTGCCAGTGGAACAATACTGTTCCTTATCGGGCATGCTACCTACTATACTACTACACTAACTCACAGAATCACAGAGCGTTAGGGGTAGGAAGGGACCTTGAAAGATCATCTAGTCCAACCCCCCTGCCAGAGCAGGACCACCCAGAGTAGGTCACACAGGAACACGTCCAGGTGGGTTTTGAATGTCTCCAGAGAAGGAGACTCCACCATCTCTCTGGCAGCCTGTGCCAGGGCTCTGTCACCCTCACAGGGAAAAAGTTTTTCCTCATGTTCATGTGGAACCTCCTGTGCTCCAGCTTGCACCTGTTGCCACTTGTCCTATCACTGGACATCACCGAGAAGAGCCCGGCTCCATCCTCCTAACACTCGCCCTTTACATGTTTATAAACATTCATGAGGTCACCCCTCTGTCTCCTCTTCTCCAAGCTAAAGAGACCCAGCTCCCTCAGCCTTTCATCAGAAGGGAGATGTTCCACCCCCTTGATCCCCTTTGTGGCTCTGGGCTGGACTCTTTCCAGCAGTTCCCTGTCCTTCTGGAACTGAGGGGCCCAGAACTGGACCCAGTATTCCAGATGCTGTCTCAAACAAGACAAACCAAAGGCTTCAGGAACTTCTTTTGCTGATGCACAGGTCTGATGGGAATTGCCTAAACCTGCAGCCAGCTTTTACTCCATCTATAAATTACTGCATTACAGAGCAGGAAGGGATTCCAATTCTAGCTGATGCATCATCATATGGGTTATCACATGGTAAGATCCAGTTGGACTAAGGGAATCTACATAATGCTCTGACACAGCAGACTCTGGATGAGACTGCACAAACATACTGATTTATATATAGCCTCATTATTCAATACTGACTTTTTCAAATGACTAGTCTCATCCCTGCTACCACAGCAGAGAATAAAACCTATGGAAATATGATTTGCTACTGGTTTGATAACCTGGAAAACTGGAGTCAGAGTTATGCATAGAACCAACTTGTAATTCTTCATAAAATCAAGTTGTAATTCCTCAAAGAGCAACTCCCACTGTAATTCTCTAAGATTCAGTCACTTGTCATATAATAAAAGAACATACTCTAAATACCCAAGTCCAAATGGTGTACTTGGCTATGCTCTCAACCTCCCCCACCCTGACCCTTCACAAATTTTTTCTAGCACAGATAAGAAACAGTTAAGGGACTAATTTTAGTCATACTTGTTTTGTGTTTTAACTAGCAACACAAGCTGATGGATACATCATAATATTAACAGAGTTACTGTATTTTCATTAGAAACAACCAAGAGGGAACATCTTCACAATTACCTGCAGTTGCCAAAAAGCTACAAATGTAGCACAAAAACACTGAGCATTTCTGAAGTACATAGATAAATACAGATATCAACTTGCTGACTTATTTTCACCACTTATTCTTTCACAGAAAACTACTCCACTAAAAGGAAGCTAGCAGGGAAGGCTGAGGGAAAGATACGGAAGGCCTAATTCCATGTTTAAGGCAAGACAGAGATTTAGATTTCCATTTAGGGAAAGCATGTTTACCACAGTGCTCTTTCATCAATTAAAAATGGATGCTTTTCAAATGGTTGTGATAAAAAAATGCGAGGAACTGTACCTGCTTTCTAGGCTTAGCCTGTCGCAGTACAAACTACTGTTGAGTTCATTGCCTGAATCATCCTGCTACTTGGAAAAATGCAGAAGTGCATCCTACTCCCTCAATTACTCACCTACTATTTAAATGGCCACACACTCATACTCACTAATGTGAAGACAGCTTTGTTTATGGTGACGTAGTTGTTACTCACCTAATTACATGAAGGTGGAATAAGCACAGACCTTCATCCAGTAGTGTCAACAAAGAGCTTAAGCGTATAGAACCAACATTATCCTTAAGTTCCTTTTCGAGCTACTCAAAGCGAGGGCAGAGATGTGCACCAAACCGTACACCACACACAGGTGGTTGCACTGGGTAGCCCAGTGTAGCGCATGCTCCTTACCCCTGTTCCTGGTTCACTGGGATGAGCAGCCAGAGAGAAGCACTCCCCAAGCTCTTGGAAACAATCACACCAGAATAACAAGCTGTTGCACCAAATCAGAGTAGTTATTTCTGGCCTTTCAGTTTGTTAACAACCAAGACCACAAGCAACAATTTAGGACTAGGAATAGCAAAAATCAATGCTTAATAAAACACAATTTCTGTGATGTGAACAAAGCTAGTAATGTAATTTGGATCACTCAGGATAAGGCTCATTAAACACTTACCAAGGCAAGATTTCTGCACCTGGCTTGGCTGCCACGGTTCTCCACGCTGCCACCCCTCTCCATGCTCCCACGTGCCTGCTTTGGAGAGATTTGGGATGCCATTTCAAGAGAATCCGAGAGAAGATTTCCAGGCATCACACTCTCTTGACTTATCGGTCCCGATGCAGCGTAGAATGCCATCAGCATATTACGTAGGGCTGCTAGCTTTATTCATTTCTGAAAACAGAGAACAACGTGTTACCTTTAAATCTGGGGTTTTTTAGAATACTTGAAAAGTAGTGGAAAATATATGGTAAAAAAAGAGCCCACACAAGTTAATAAAGGGTGTCTCTTTATGGTTTAGAAGGAACCTATGGGCATCTTTTTAAAAAAAAATTGGTCTTATTCTAAAAGGTGACTTTAAAAATTCAACATAGCAAGGTTCTGTACCCCATCTCATGTGCTTCCAAACCAGATGTCTACAATTACAAGCTGGTCCTACAGATTCAGTTTGTGTTTTCCATTATGACACATCATTAACAGTAATAAAATCCCATTGGCTGAGATACAAACTGACCCAGTTCAAATATCTTCATCTTTTACTAGCTTTTAGTCAAGAATTCTATTTATCAGATCACATTAGGCAAACAGAATCCAGTTCATTTCCTAACACTGCTGCAGTTAACTCACATGTTACTGAAGCGGCTCTATGCCAGCTGCTTTTGGTGAAGGATCCATGGACAGAACTCAGTGCCATTTTTGCACCATCGCATTACACAGCAAAATTGCATTTTAAAGCTTACAGAGCTTTTATTTCACTCAACCATGAAGAAACGGTGCTTGTACATTCAGAAGAGGCTTACTGGAACAGATACGCACCGGCGCTTACCGGAGCAAAAGCCCCCAGGTTTTTTTAAGCCATCCTAGCGCTCACTTCTGCAGTACCGCTCTGAAATGTCACCATCTCCCAAAACACTCCGGCAGAATTTCTCCCTTCATTTTCAAAGTATCACAAAGACAAAAGTCACCCTTCTGCAGTAACAGTGCAAACAGGGCGTGGGTAAAAAGTAGAACCTAGCTCATTTCTCTCTCCAATACATTGAAACACCCTTTGCAACAAGCAATTGCCTTGTCCTCTAACAGTCCACCTGTTCACCCCGCTGTGCCCGTGACCAGGAAACAGCAGGGATGCTTTCCTCAAAACAGCTGGTGCCGAGGTACCACATCGTATGCAACCAGCTGGGAACCGGATACCATTACCCTGACACTGTACAAACGAAATGAGATGGTCCTGCTTCCCAAGTGCTTCTCCCTTTATTACGGTTCAAGAGGCGACATGAGAAGCAAAGTCAAACCTGCATTTCCAATTCAATTGGATTACTTCTCCTTCCGCCTACCCCTGTCAGCAGAGGGCTGGGAAACCAGAGCCTCCTGGTAAGCTGATTAGCGTTTCATAGCAGTGAGATAGCATCTGCCAATAGTGAGCAACAATTCCATCCCGCTGATCACTTCCTCCCAGGAGAGGGCTACGACATTACCACAGGTATGTGAGAAAGCTCCCTCCAACGTGTGTCCTGTGGGAAGGCTCCCCCACAACGTAGCTAGGCTGCAGTCCAGCAAGTCCTGGAAGCACAAGTCACATACACAGAGCACTGGATTGCTACAATAAAAGCATCTGATAGCCTTTCCTATGAACATTAGGTCTAATGATTAAGATTTAGCCTTGCTTTTACATCAAAAGAAGATTCTTCCTTTCTTCTATTAATAACATTAGCTAGAAATAGATACAATGCATCCTCAGGATAATGGTCTTTAAGTGATGCCACAGAGGTAGAAACATGCTCTTGGTCCTGGTTTTCAGAATCACAAGACAGGCGGACACAAGAGCATTGCAGCAGCAGCTGTACCTCTGGTTGCCACATACCCAGGCTCAAACCAAAAAGCCGTGCTGCTGAAAGCTTAACTAGAGAAGGGCAGACTGAGTCTAGAACATATCCTGCAATAGTAGCTTCATCTACAAATCCTGGGGCACTGAATAGCTACACAGACACACACACACAGGTAAATATATGTAATTTTTAGAAGGCAACATTGTCAGTGAAAATCCTGGCTCCTCTGAAATGCTACACAAACACACATACTACATATATACAATTTTTAGAAGGCAAGACTATCAGAGAAAACCTTGACACCTCTGAAATTCACAGGAAACTCCCACTGACTTCGGATTTCATCCCATGAATTTGAAGGTGATGTTCAGATGGAAAAAGAGTATCTTCCTACAGGAGGACCAGCAAGAGGCGAGTGCTACTACTGACATCCAGCTTAAGGTGAGTATTATTTCTCATCAGCACTTTTAAGCTGCAGCATCAATTTTTATCCAGGTGTCCCCAGTATAAAGTGGACACGGCATGTTTGTTCAGTCCTTCAGTGATGTATTATAGACAACTACCAGATTTCTAGAATTATACTCAAAACTGTTTGTGAACATTTTATAAACTACATTATTAGAGGTCATAGCTCCAGATGGCAATAAATATCACAGACAAGACCCACGTTTAAAGACTAACCCAATGAAGATATTAATCCAAGTCACCAAGAAACCAATTAACAGGCCAAAACTTTGAGGGAAAAGGAAGTATTTAAGAGTACTGTTCTGCTTCTTCCAACAGCAAAACCTCAGCATAACCAGGCCTAAGCTTCATAGTGGGCTATCTGCATCCAGGAGAACAGGAACACACGGATTCAGTAGTAATAAACATTAAAGCCACAAGTTCTAAATAACAACAAACAACTCCGCTTCCAGCAAGCTCTTATTACTCATTTTGGAGCTCAAACTCAGACGTTTCACAAAGCTCCTGAACAATGAATAAAGGCGGTGACTGCGACTGGTTAAGAGAGCCACCCACACAAGATCATGTAGCACGCATTACGGCACTGGTTCTGCTTTTGTGTTGCAAGCCGTGGTTTCTTTGGAAGTTTTATTCATTTCAGAAAAGCTCAGGAGCTCTGTGACAGCCTGTAAGCCTGCAGAAAGGGCATGGGGGGAAGATCTTTTTCCCTTCTATCTTTCACATCATCTTTAACGCTTCAAGGGTACACATCAATAAGTTCATGACTCATTCATATACATGACTTCTCCACATTGCTGTGTTTTTTATCCTGCAAGGGAGAAAATCCTATGTATTTGTACAGCGCCTAGTGCAGCTACAGCTGATGTGAGGCTGCCAGCCACTGCTGCAACACACACAGCATGCTTTACAGACAAATTCCCCTCCTAACCACGGCTAACTCAGAAGTCCCATCAACCTTCTTATGTTCCCTCTATTAAGTGAGAGACTTCATGGATTTAAGATAGAAATAGCCAAGAATCTAATGAATTTCAAGAAGACCCCCACCAACTGTTCCAGTAGGATTGCCTAGGTAACTAGCAAGGGTCAGAAATAAGGTAACCATCCTCAGGGAGAGCAAGAACAGCAGGACAGCAGGCGGCTGTTCCTCCTGACCTTCAGAGATGCATTAAATATGAAAGTGGCTCACAACAGGATTTGTTGCTTGGTCTATTAAATGCATTGTAGTGTTTTGTTTTTTGTTTTGTTTTGTTTGTTTTTTTTGCTTGGTTTGAGACTTGTGTGCCTGTACTATTAGGGATTTTGGGATTATTAAAAAAATCAGACTATGATACAAGAGTGCAGAAGTGTGACAGGACCAGGCCTATTTGGAGAGAAAATCACAAATATTAATCCAAAAAAGCATCTTAGGGCATCTGTGATTCCATCAGCCGAAATGATCACTTCTCGGTTACACTAGAGCTAGCCTTCATGAGGTATTTAAAACAATACAATTCACATACCACGCCTGTTTGTCAGAGGGTAGTAGGAGGAAATTGAAATATTCTGAAGTTAACATTGAATTTTACCTCCAAAGATTCAATTTTGCTTTGACAGAGGCACATTATTCAGAGAGACTGTATTAAGCTGCCATCAAAGATAAGGTGCGGTCTGTCCTTTTAAAAAGGACATTTTTATAGTTTTGCTGACTAAGATTACTTCTCCATTGAAGTTCAATGTTAGTATTTACAGGGGACTGTGTCTCTAGTAGCAGGAGATTGAAAAAATTGTTTATTAGCAATCCTATTTGAAGACTAGCTTAATAGGCAAAAAGATCAATCCCACAAAAATGGAAGATATTTAGAGGCTAAAAGCCAACTGCTACATAAGCCAGGAGCCGAAAGCCAGCAGACAGCATCACGCCATTTACTGCATGCTATATTTAAGGTCAGCAGAGCCGACAATTTTTAGAAAGTTATCATACATTTTTAAAAGGGCACAATATCAGTCTCTCTCTCCCTTCACTATACATACAACTTCTGGAACGCTCTTTGCATGAATCATTTCTTAAGCTAGATTTCTAAGCCTACACTGTACTGTGAGCATCAGACACACTTTGCCTGTTCTGAAACAGCTCTCTCAGTGGTACAACTGAAACAAAAGAACTGGCCAGCGAACTTCAAAGTTTGTTTAATCTCTCAGCTGTACCTGAGAGATTGAGCATACCAACGCACACACCCAGCTCTGCGCACACCGTTGGTCCTCTTGCACTCCATGGCAGCGCTTGAGTTTGGAGAGTTAAGCATCTGGGAAAAACACCTGCAAGTACTCTGAGGTCATTCCAAGCGTTACTGTGGGATAGGTTCTGTAAAAATGATGGTACAGGGGCAGACTAGAGACCTCTCTCTCTGTCAGCCTCTCACAGCAGCAGATGCTGAGGGAAGAGCATGTAAAACAAGGCAAGCAGAGGGTAGGAATTCATTCAGAGTCCTGTACGTTGTGGTCAAGAGAGCACAGGGCTTCCCAAAACAGGCCAGGAATTTGTGTCTAATAACCTGATGAATTTTTCCTTGTATTGAGTGCTCCTGCAACATACCTTTGAACCTGCTGTACAAGACCACAGCTAAACCAAACCAGCTGGCCCATGACATGTCTTCACAGAGCCACAAACTGCTCAGAAGTAACTGATCCAGTGTGGTGGACTTATTTCCTCCTTATGAGCAGAGCTATCAGCAGCTGCATTCTTCTGACCTCCCCTTCAGTATATGAAATACAGAGTGAGCTTTAGAGGTAACTCATGTCCTACTCTTGGGGTATACAGTAAGATTTAAGCTTTCTAGCAGAGGAATAGACAAAGTGGCAGTACTGCCTACAAAG